CAGTACTCCATTGTCCACGTCTCCGACGGTGTCGTCTGATCACTGATTCCTCGCCGCAAGCCAGCACTTCCCACCCTTTGCGCCTCCACTCTCAAGCTTTGTGCACCACGTGCAATCACATGCTCTTTTTTTTGTGGCCATAATCGTCGCGGCTCCTACCCACCACGACTGCGCATCGTCCACATGCTCCTTCGTCGACGTGGCCGTCGTCGATCTCCAAACGTCGTACTTCCACGTGCTCCTTCGTCGACGCGCTCCTTCGTCCACGTGTTCATCGTTGCGGAGTTGCGGACGACATGGCCCCGAGGAACGCATCAGCGAAGGCCAGGCAAAATAGCGGGGTGGGCGACGAGGGGGAAACCAAGAGAGGCAGAGGGCACATCCCTAAGCTGAAAAGGCAGCGCGTTGAAGAGTCGAGCTCCGAGCACACTGCAGACTTCCAGCCAGAAGAAGTGGTGATGGTGGACGCGCAAGGTACTTCAGCGGCGCCGCGATTGGGTTTCGGGCGAGATGGGTTGACGAGGGAACAGGTGTCCGCTGTGAAGCAGAGCATTGTTGTTGGTGCTGCCGGGGCGTCGTAAAGGACCCCGAAGGCGGCAGGGGTTGTCATAACGGAGGTGCGCATCCCGAGGCAACTTCCCGCGGCGACGGGGCAGGGCCAGCCACTTCCACTGGAACAGATGGGGGCTTGATGGGGGGGGGAAGCACAACCCGCGCAAAAGGGCGATGCAATGGCGATCGGCACTCGGGCGGCGGCGGCGGATCGCAGTGGTAGAACCGGAGTCGCCGAAGGTGCGGGCGAGGAGAGGGTAGACGACGTCCGCCACGACGAGGGAAGAAGAGACGGGAAGCGGGAGGGCGACGACGACCGTCCACTTGTGACGAGGTTGAAGGGAGCCGCAAAGGAGGATGGTCTGGAGGAAAGATCGAAGTTGTGGGTTGATTGCGACTCTTTTTGGGGTCAGGGACCGGGGAAACCCTTGAGGGAGGCGGTTGGGGAGTGCGCGGACTACTTCATCGCAATCGCCAACGGAGACGCGTGAGCTGAACCGCCTGCGATGCTCATACTGCCGCCGAACGACGTGCCGCACTTCAAGATCGACGACCCTGCGCACCGAGAACCGGCTCTGCGCAGAGCGCGCAACATCGAGAAACTGGTGTTGCGCGCCATCCACGGCGCGATCTTCAAATCGTCGTCGTGGTCGGCTGGATTCGCTCGTGCAGAGTTGTACATCAGTGTCAACATTGCCACAGACGCCGCACGAGCAGTTTGGCAGGGGCAGGAATGATCGAACGTGGTGTCCCCTGCACTCGTGTACCACACTCTAGCGCTGAAGATGGACGTGCCTCTGTGGTTCGCGGGGGTGAAGATTGTGGATCGGCCAGAGGACGACAACATGGCGGCGCGGCAGGAGGAGACAGTTCTTCGCATCGCGGACTGCTGGACAGACGCACTGTGGTGTGGACAATGGGCGGACGACGGGCGCGTGAAACAGGAGAGGTTGTCTAGGCTTGTGGACTGTCTTTGGGCATTGTTGAGCGCGTGCATGTGGATCATGCGCATGGGTGGTGACGACGACCGTTCGCACTACGAGGCGTGCCTTTACTCGTCCCTGGTTGCCAAACCGACAATGATAGCGGCGGGGTCGTACATCTTCAACTGGCGGCGACACATCGTCGACAGCGCGAACCTCGTCTTGGATCGTATAGGGAAGGCTCACCTCACGCTGGGAGAATACCCGCACTGCATTCCGGAATGGTGTGACTGCGGGTTGGTGTTCGGCCACAACGCGGCCCTGAAGAACGTGGCGAAAGCCGCGAAACACGGATGGATTGGCAGCGGGCCTGCGGTGGAGGAAGTGGGAGACGAGGACGGTTGACACGTGGGTGCGTCCGTGGCGCAGTGTCAAGGTGCGGTCGAGGCGACTCGAACGGCGTCTGGTATCGAGTGTCATCATGTATAGGTCAGGTTGCAGTCGTAGTTGTGCATGTGTAGTGAAGGATGCTTTCATTTATTTTGTGTTATTATTAGGTGATTGGAGCGCACTTGGTACGCTTGCTCCGCCGCATGGTTAATTGGGTCGGCGGACTGCTCCGCCGATATGTGCGTAGACGGCAGGACCAGTCGGTGTGTAGTGCGGAACGCTAGAAGTGTCGATAGTCAGACAAAAGGGGGAATCGTCGCCGATGCGATTGATTATATGCAATATGAACTCAGTGAAATGTGTGTTGCTTTTTCCATGTCTTGTATTTGCATACCAAAAGATTGCGCACGGAGTCATGTCGTCGTTGTCTTCTGTGTGGTTTTATCACATGACGCACGCGTGAACGACCATTGGATCGTCGTCCACATCTTCTTGTGTATGAGCCCGTGTGTTTTCCATTCCACCTGTCGCGGCATCGTTGTCATCGTCGTGAACTTAACAAAGAAAAGAAATAAAAGGATTGTGTCTTCATTGCACGGTTGCATGATGAGCACATCAGTCGCGATATCATCTTTCTTTTCGTTGTCGATGCATGTCAGTCGTGATTCACAAACGTGATGCACGTCATTCGTCAATGTAAAAAACGAAGTAGAAGAGCTTTTTGGAAAAAAACGGAGACAAGCAGAGACGACATGCACAACACACGTTCTGTGCACCATGCACAACACACGTTC